ATCATCGTCCTCTTCTTCTTCATCATCATCATCCTCTTCTTCTTCCTCTTCTTCTTTTTGTCTTCCTCTTGCAGGTCACTGCTCATGCGCAGATTTTTTATCGGTAAAAAAATCGGCCGATTTGCCCATTATTGCCGCGAAAATCGGCCGATCGGCAAAATCGGCCGACTTTTTTTTTTCCAACTTTACCGATAAAAAAAAACGCCCAAAATACCGAAAAAACGGCCGAACAAATAGCCCACTAACGAACGAAAATCGGCCGATTTTATTTTCGATCCGAAAAATCGGCCGATTTTCGACCCATCTATGGCCTGCATAACATCCTCATCCTTTGACACCTGTCAAGAAGATACCCACTCTTGGCACAGATCTTTTTGTAAGACCCCCTGTATAAAAGTCAATCAGTCATCATCCCCAGAGCCAAAGGAATAACCAGTGACTAGTAATTTGTGTATATATAACCGTGTAGAAGAGGTGATCAATGCTTGGCACAATGAAGGATCATGCTGCATTGTCTATGTTGTTGTGTGTATGGATATACAAGGTCTTACATTTTACGTGAAGTTTGTTTATGTAAACCTGTCCCAGAATTAGACATTTCAAACTGAAAATTTGTTGAGAAAATTGCAAATAGGGGTCGTCTTGAGTGAAAACTGCTGCATGTTAACCACTTCCCATCCGGCCCAAGCAGTACAAGGGCGGGTGGCCGTTTATAAACTGCCTCCCTGTTCCCTGCTTGTGCACGCTCCCTGGGGCTATTCACAACAGCCTTGTGAACAAATCTGTGAATGATCACAGAGATCACAAGGTACAAGGCTATTCACAACCGCCTTGTACCGTGTGACAGGCTGTTACCAATCACAGCTCACACAGTATTCCTCAATGGCGGAACACAGATCGCTGTAGGGGACCTCTGTGTGAGGTCCCGATTTATGTGGTCACTGATTGGCCAATCCTGACATCATTGCTTACTACTTGTGAAATCTGTGAATGATCACAGAGATCACATGGTACAAGGCTATTCACAACCGCCTTGTACCATGTGACAGGCTGTGACCAATCACAGCTCACACAGTATTCCTCAATGGCGGAACACAGATCGCTGTAGGGGACCTCTGTGTGAGGTCCCGATTTATGTGGTCACTGATTGGCCTATCCTGACATCATTGCTTACTACTTGTGAAATCTGTGAATGATCACAGAGATCACAAGGTACAAGGCTATTCACAACCGCCTTGTACCATGTGACAAGCTGTTACCAATCACAGCATTTCTCAATGGCTGCAGGAATGCAGCCAGAGAGAAGGAGAAATGATTGCTTTTACAGCCTTTATGGGTGTAAAAGCAATCAGTGTACAAAAAAAAAAAAATAAATAAATCTTCATCACCCCCCACAAGAAGTACAGTGTTGCTATGGTGACACTGTACTGCTAGGGTGACAGTATGTAAAAAAAAAACCATAAATAATAATATAAAAATGTAAAACATATTTTGAAACATTATTATTTTTGGTTATAAACTAATTTGTTTTTGTTTTTTTTTACTAAAAAGATAACTGAATACATTTTGGCCAAGATTTATAAAGAAAGGTTATTTGCAAAATTTTATAAGAAAAACACTTTTTTTAAAAATTTTTGGACTTTTTCATTTATATAGCAAAAAAAATAAAAATCCCAGTGGTGAATAAATACCACCAAAATAAAGTTTTATCTGTCTCAAAAAAATGCTAAAAAATTCATATTGGTACAGTGTTGCATGACCACGCAATTGTCATTGAAAGTGTGATAGCGCTGAAAGCTGAAAATTGGCCTGGACAGGAAGGGGGTGAAAGTGTCCGGACTTGAAGTGGTTAAAACTGAACTCCAGCCTTCCTTTCTGTCTTACATAGTTGTACTGGCTCCTCTCCTGTACTCAAATTACTTACTGATCTCACTGCACACTGGTAGCTTCTCACAGTGTGCATTAGAAGCTGCAGCAAGTCACCTAGAGCCTGCCTCATTTCCTGGCTGGATGACGTCCAGTATCATATAGTTCTTTACTCCCCAGCCTTGCAGTCCTTGGCCCTCCCCTTTCATTAATTGAATTTCAGTTCTTTCAATAATGGATGCTCAGCATCATATGTATGCGTTGCCTCAGCTTCTTGTTTTTAGGGAGCTATGTACGGCTCCCTGCTGCCCCCTCCCACCAGCCATTATCTGCCTTCTTTGCATAGAGAAGCTTGTAGACCTAGTGATGGTGACACTGGGCCTAAAATAAGGTTTGTAACTAAAACAGGTTTTATTTACTGTCTTCATCAGCGTGTTATTGAAGAACCAGGGAAGGTAAAATATTAGCCGATTAAAGCTGAACTTCGCTTAAAATACAAAGTTCCATTTATTCTCCTCCTCCCCTTCCACCTCGCTAATTAATTGTTTGTTTTTTTTCTCTTCTGGGAGCAGGTACCTATTTCTGGCAGAGACCCACTCTCACAACTCACTTCCGCTCTGCTCGCTTAGGCAAGTAGAGCAGAAGCTCAGCTCCTCCCTCCACCTGCAACCTCCTGGGACACATCACATGTCCCAGGAGACTGCAGGACCATTCAGAAAGTGCCGCAGTCACAGCCGGCTTTTAACATCCCTGGTGGTGGTTCCGGGGACCCTAAGACTGACAAAGAACCAGCCTGGATGAGGACCGTGCTTGATTCCTGGGCTGGTAAGCATATTATTATAAAAAGTCATCAGCTACGGTATTTGTAGCTGCTGACTTTTATTTTTTTCAGAAAGTGCAGCTTCTTTTTAAAGTGTTACTAAACCCACAACAGTACAATCAGTCTGTATATGCAGTAAAGCATGCTTGTTATACTCACTGTGGAACCTAAGGGGTTAATCCTCTGCACTGTGTAAAAAGGCTGTTTGGTCCTGTCTCCTCTGATCCTCCCCTTCTTCCACAGTCCCCAGTCCATCTGCCTTTAATATAGAGCCCTGGGGGGGGGGGGGGGGCAGTGCATGTGGTCATCACAGGGCCAACCAGCACTGTCTAGACAGAGGTTCAGGGGTCATGCAGCATCATAGGACAGTCAGAGGAGGATAAAAACTCCTCCTTCAAGCTTTAACCAGTGCTGGGCCAGGCACTGATAGAAGGCACAAGACTGCTATATACCGCTGATGAGAAAAGGTATTTAGCAGTTTATATATATAAAATAATTGCATTTCCATGTTGTGTGTACTGTGGGAGACGAGATATAGTGTATGCAGGGTCCGGGGAGACCAGATATAGTGAATGCAGGGTCCGGGGAGACCAGATATAGTGAATGCAGGGTCCGGGGAGACCAGATATAGTGAATGCAGGGTCTGGGGAGACCAGATATAGTGAATGCAGGGTCCGGGGAGACCAGATATAGTGAATGCAGGGTCCTGGGTTAGTAACACTTTAAGCTTCAGCTTTACACAGATAAATACATTCAAAGACCTATGCAGCTAAAGGTAGGTGCAGATTTAGACTTTTCCTGTAAAAATAGGTTAGCCCTACCCCTCCCACTTTTTTAGGTCTTCCAATTGGTAGTCTGTGATGACTGACCTTGCCAGCCCTCAACACAGTTAGGGGTCCAATTTCACACATGTATCTAAAATCTGTTCATTAATGATCCCTAGGACAATACCCCATGCTGAGAATACTGTAAATGTCCCCCCATTTGAGAGCCAGCAGCTGATACTTTGCATGGCTGCTGACTCTCAGTCTCAGTTGTCACTGATTGCTTGAGCCCCATAGATGATAGTGACAGTGATCACATGAAGGATTGACTCCTCGTTGACAAAAATATTCATACTGCAGATGAATGCATCTTTAGGCTGCAGTGCCATTTCATAGTGTAATTGTCAGATACAATTGCATTACTCAAAATAATAAATTATTTTGTTTTAAAAGAAAGTGGTATATTTTTTTTTTCGGTCTAGATAAAAGCGCACAAATGTGTCCCAAAGGAAATAAGTGAATGGTATATGTCAACTGTGATTGGTGGGGGAAAAAACTCACTGCTGCCATGGTAAAAAACACATCGGTTTGTTAGGGGGGAGTATGAACAGGAGCCAGGCGCTGTGTAGTTTTGTGATAAAAGTAATACACCTTTATATGGAGGCGTGCCTTTAATAATTCATATGGTAAAAAATAAATAACCAGCCTGTGGCTTTAGGAAGCAGGTTCCAAGATGGACGGCCCGTCCGCTCAGAGGGAAGCAGTGGAGTAGAATACCTGTCAGTGCAGGGACCACGTGTACCCGACGTCCCAGCGTCCTGGATGACGTCACCACGATGTGGAGAGACGGAGGGGGGGAACTCTTGCTGGAGCCGCAGCTTTAGCTAGCAGAAGGGGCCGGCTTAACAACCAGGGGGATTATCCCTTTGATTATCCCCTTGGTTGTTAAGCCGGCCCCTTCTGCCATGCAGGTCTCCTATAAAATGGCCGATTGCTGGACTTTTCACAGACTTGATAAAGCGCATGTGCGCGAAACGTGTTGTCCCGGCAACCGGCCTCTTCCTTCTAAAGCTGCGGCTCCAGCAAGAGTTCCCCCCCTCCGTCTCTCCACATCGTGGTGACGTCATCCAGGACTGGGACGTCGGGTACACGTGGTCCCTGCACTGACAGGTATTCTACTCCACTGCTTCCCTCTGAGCGGACGGGCCGTCCATCTTGGAACCTGACTTCTTAAAGCCACAGGCTCGTTATTTATTTTTTACCATATGAATTATTAAAGGCACACCTCCATATAAAGGTGTATTATTTTTATCACAAAACTACACAGCGCCTGGCTCCTGTTCATATTTTTTTTTTCACATTTGTTAGCCTGATACAGAGCAGAGTTTTTACTAAAACAATGTACCAAATAAAAGCCAAATATGTTCTTTTAAACAATCTAAGCATCAGTGACCTCTGATCACAACATGTTTAAGAGGCTTGTAAATCTGACCTTCAGTATTGTATGGTTCTGACATTTGCATGTCCTTTTTTTTTATTTTTTAACTCAGTTGACTTCTACAGATTTCAAGCATCTCAAGCGTTTACTTCCAGTGCTGGAAAACGTGTCCCGCTCCCACCCCAGAGCCGGTTATTCAGGAGCTGGCAAGTGACCTTCGTGTTGCAATTGCCACACACTGTGCGGTCCCACTCATGCATGGAACCTATGCTGACCACAACACAGACAAAATGGAAAGCAAACCACAGAAGCCCAACAGAGATCACCTGACTTCTGACATTCTGAATATCCAGGAGCTGCTGAAGTCAGCAACAGACGGAGATGTCCCCACAAGAGCGGCAGCCCTGCGCACCCTCACTCGGCTTCTGGAGCAGAAACATCCAAAAGTGACAGAACACAGGGAACAGGTGATGCAGGTAAGGATTTGACAAACTTGTTACCTGCATTGTAGCTCTGTCTGCAGAGTTGTATAACAATAATAACTTCTTTTTTTTTTTTTTCCTTCCCCAGTTGTTCTTGGATAACTTGGAGCAAGAGGATTCCTTTGTGTACCTGTCAGCAATTCAAGGTAATTTAACAACTGTAGTTTGACAAATAAATCTGAATACAGCACGTGTGTTTAATATTCTGTAGGTTCTGATTTAAATGGCTTTACTTTAATAAAGTGTCTGCTCTGGGCCACCACCTCAAAGCCAAAACATTGGTCCTATGAACTAGACCAAATGGCCTAGGACTGAGGTTCAGGTAACAGCATCATGTCAGCTGCTCTGCCTTAATGTTGATCCTCGTCTTTCACTGTGGTTATATGGCCAATGACATGGTATCTGGTCATGTGACTGGGACAAGAGAGCGGTTGTTTCTTCAAAAATTGTTCAGTGTTTAAAGAGGACCTTTTAGTAACATAACAAGGCTACATACGTAAATTCCTGACATGTCATAATTTGCAGCAATAGTTTAACCATTTGCCGCCCGCCCTATGGCCGAATGGCGGGCGGCAAATGTCATCAGCGTTCCGCATGGACGCCATATGGCGTCCTCCCGCACATGCGCAGATTGCGCTCCTGCAGGGCAGCGCAGCGGCGCAATCTGTCACCGGCCGTGTACCTCGGACACGGCCGATGACAGATCTGAGTACCGGCCCCATTGCCGGTACCATGTGACCTGCTGTGACCAATCACAGCAGGTCACATTACAGTTGTATACAATGGATGGCTTCATTCATGCCATCCATTGTATACTAGTGTCTAGCTGTGAATGGTCACAGCTAATCACATGCACATGTCATGTGATTAGCTGTGGCCAAATCACAGCTAAGCACAAAAAAAAAAAAAAAAAAAAAAACCCTGAATGAATCGATGTCATTCAGGTAAATGCTTGCTTATAGCAAAGAAATTCTTTGCTATAAGCAAATTGTGTAAAAAAAAAAAAAAAAAAAAAAATACTGATCACTTCCCCAAAGTAGTACAATGTTACTTTGTTAACATTGTACTACTTTGGTCATAGTGAAATATGAAAAAAAAATCTTAAAAAAAAGAAAAGAAACTTAATAAAAAATAAAAAAATATATATTTTTTTTTCATACTGTCACCAGTCAGTGTCCCTGTTCACCGCCATGCCAGTTATATAATGACGCTGTACTGCACTGGTGACAATATGTAAAAAAAAAAAAAAATAGTGAAACTACTTTTTTTTAATTTTTTCATTTTCCTAAAAATTATGACAAAAAAATACAACTTCAAAAAAACTCGCCATGCCTCTTATGAAGTACGTCGGACTGTCTACTTTGCAAAAAGGGGTCATTTGGGGGATATTTGTACTGTTCTGACATTCTTGGACCTCAAGAAATTAGATTGGCTGTCAGTACTTCAGGATTGATCAATATTCAGATCTATACCATAGTTTGTGAACTCTATAACTTTCCTACAAACTAAAAAATGCATCCTAATTTGGGTTATTTTCATCAAAGACATGTAGCAGAATACATCTCGGCCTAAATTTATGAAGAACAATTATTTATTTGCAAACTTTTATAACAGAAACAAAGAAAAACTTTTTTTTTTCAAAATTTTTGGTCTTTTTTTGTTACTTTAGCAAAAAATAAAAACCCCAGCGGTGATTAAATACCACCAAAAGAAAGCTCTAGTTGTGTGAAGAAAATTATAAAATTTTAGTTTGGGTACAATGTTGTATGACCGCGCAATTGTCATTCAAAGTGTGAGAGCGCTGAAACCTGAATACTGGCCTGGGCAGGAAGGTGTAAAATTGCCCGATATTGAAATGGTTAATGTGTCAAAAAAAATTCTGCCTAAGCTGACGCATTGCTATCAGTCTGCTGCAGGAAAAAGGGAGTATTTCCTCAGTCTCCTTTCCTCCAGCAATTACCAGTGTAGCTTTGAATCATGTAACACATGGATGAAGGCTGAAAAATGGACTGATCTGTTTCAGATATTTGTGATTACAGCCAAGAACTGCACAGACACCAGGATTTACATGACTGTGTCATCAGAATTTCAACACAGGAAGTAGATGCTGATTCTGGATGATGGCAAAACAATGATGGTGCTATCTGGCAGTGGAATACTGTGATCTGTATGAGAGGTGATAAATACCTGGGGGTGGATAGAAAGAAAATTGCTCAATTTCCCCATCAACAGTCAGCGTTAATGGGGGAATCCCTTCCACAGCACCTAGTGTTCTGCTGGCAGGGAGCTATAGCCGCTGGTAGCGATCGCATGAAAAATCCAACAAGCTGAATTTGACTGATGGATCAACTTCAGTACAACCAGCCTGCCCATAGATGGATCGAATCTTGGCTGGTTCCTGCTGAACCTGGCCAACATTTGATCCATCTATGGCCTGCTTAAGATTTTATAGGAAGTTTCTGCAAATAAAAGGTAAGCAGAAATTTGTAGTGGTGAAGGATTAGAACTCTGTTAGGTTTTACTGCAGTACGCGGCTTTGTTGGAGAGATTCCTTCGCTTCCTGTGAGGTTTCCCCCCAGGCCAGAAAGTGAGAGGTAATCTGTAACCTCAACACAGACATAAGTAAAAAAAATTTATTTTTTTTTTTTTTTTTTTTTTTTTTTTTATAGTTTGTGGTTAAGTGGGAGTATTCTAGAACCCTGGTCAGCTTTTTATTTTCCGTTTCCCTGCAGCAGATTGTTCCTTTCTACCTGTGTGTTAAAAGTTGTCCACAGAGCAGAAAGTGAAGGAGGAAGCTCTCCAAAGGTGCCCTGAATTTTAGTAAAAGCTGACAGGGGTGCTAATCTTTCCCCAATCTATTCAAAAACTAACGATGTTTACCTTCCTCTTTGTAAATTGTTTACACCAATAGTTGTCAACTTCTGAGTTAAAAGGGGCCTCAAAATTGGCCCCTGACATCACCAAAGGACTTCCCATAATGTTCAATATATGTAATGCTTGTGAGGACCGTCAAACTGCAGACCTAGTAAAGGAACTGAGGGTCAGTGTGGACATGCTACATTTTTGGCCTGGAGACATGATGCAGAAGACAATGTGAAACTGGGAACATGTTACGTGAGGCTAGTAGACATCAATGCTATTAGCCTAATCAATGTTCCCATTACAGACTGCTGAGGACCAAGGGCCACACAACATACACCAAAGGGCTGCAGGTTGGGCACCAGGTGTTTACACTGTACAGTGAGGTGCATATGTGCAGCTCAGTGTACAATCACAGCAAAAAGACCTTCATGTCAGGATCATCAGGTGTTATTTTAATTAAAGTTGCAGATTTAAAAAAAAATAAAATTACGTTTTAAAGAAAAAAAAAAAAAAAAATCAAATTATGATATTCTAGTGACTGGGCTTGGATCTGCTTCAGTCAACAGCATTCTTTTTATATATAGATCGGAGTTCTTTATTTTCTTAGATAAGCAAGTGGCTTTGTATATTTACACCCTAATTCGATGATCTGCTTCACTGATAATAATGGGGGATGCTTAGGAAAGAGTGGAGGGGAAGTGAAGGGACAGGAGCAGAAAGGAACCCCTTTGTAGCAGCGAGACAATACCACCTATGTTTATAGCTCCTTCCCAGGTTCCCCAACCAAAGTCAAAGATTCAGGAAGCTTTGATCTCCCTCCTGAAAGGCCTCACTAATCATTAATAAAGAACTCTCAGGGCAGAGAGCAGCTTCAAAGCAACCCAGAGAGGATCATGCAGGATATAGCAGTCATTGCTAGGTGCATCTACAGCTACAGGGATAGCAAAAGTGAACCTATACTTGAAAAAAATCCAACAGTACAGCCACATATTGCAGGGACAAGATTCAAGAGAAAAAGGCCAAGGTGCACCCCTCAGGAGCTATGAACCACTTCAGCAGCAAAGATTGCAGGCCTTGCTCTTTTTGCATCCCTTGCTGCTGAAGTGCCCAAGGCAGCCATCTTTTCTACCTACCTCTCAGCCTGACCATGCAGAAGACAAGAGACCCTCTTCACCTTGCTATCCCAAGAAGTGCTGCATTAGAAAGTGGTGGCACACAAGAACATACTTCACTTCCAAATGAAGGTATTGTTGCCAGCACAGGTTCACTTTAGTCCTTTACTGTGCTGTGCATTAGCTGCAGTGGGCTCAAAGAGACTCTGAGGGGATAAGGCTGGCCATACACTATACAATTTTCTGCCCAATTTCCTTTAGATTTACCTTCAACTATGTAGCGCAAGGGCCCGACTAACTGAATACAATCAAAAGTGTTCTTTGGGTTTGACCTCATATTATATGGTTTTTGGTAAATCTAAAGCAAAACTTTCAACAAAATTATATAATAGACGGCCAGCCTAAGTTATTAACCTCTTGTGGTCCGCCTGCTGTTTATAAACGGCAGGGCGGTGGCAGTCCAGGGGCGGGTTGCCGTTCCTAAACGGCACCCGCCTTTTCTAGCTGTGCGCGCTCCCTGGGAGCGCGCACCACCGCGATCCGGTGCCCGTTGTGTCCTCAGAACACAGTGAAACACCGATCGTCGGACGGGACCTCTGTACGAGGTCCCGATCATGTGATCAGGACCTCTGTACGAGGTCCCGATCATGTGATCACTGATTGGCGAATCAGTGATCACATGCAAAGTAGTAAGCAAGATGTCACTTGTGACATCATTGCTTACTACGTGTGAAATCTGTGAATGATCACAGAGGTCACATGGTACAAGGCTATTCACAGCAGCCTTGTACCATGTGACAAGCTGTGACCAATCACAGCTCACTCAGTACTTCTCAATGATTGCAAGAATGCAGACAGAGAGAAAGAGAAATGATTGCTTTTACATCCTATACGGGTATAAAAGCAATCAGTGTAAAAAAAAAAAAAAAAAAATCTTCATCACCCCCCCACAAGTAGTACAGTGTCACCATGGTGACACTGTACTGCTAGGGTGACAGTCTGTAAAAAAAATAAATAAATAAAAAATAATAATATAATAAAAAAAAATAAAATAAAAATGTAAAAAAAAATGTTTAAAAATTATAATTTTTGGTTATAAACTAATTTGGATTTTTTTTTTACTAAAAAATAACAGAATAAATTTTGGCCAAGATTTATGATGAAATATTATTTATTTGCAAAATTTTATTAAAAAAAACTTTTTTTTCAAAATTTTTGGACTTTTTCATTTACATAGTAAAAAAAATAAAAATCCCAGCGGTGAATAAATACTACCAAAATAAAGCTTTATCTGTCTCAAAAAAATGCCCTGGACAGGAAGGGGGGTAAAAGTGTCCGGACAGGAAGTATTTAAGGCTGAAAAAAGTTATTGGTTGTGGGGAAAGTTATGAAGTTGAACTGTCGTATTTTGGAATGTAGTAATGCAAATTAAGAATGAGTAGGGCTACTTTCACACTGATCTGCAGCAAAATGGCATATGCCTTTTTTCTGAATTTTTGCTATGTTTTTACCGTGTTTGCAGTGCATTTTTTTAAATGACATGTGACTCAAAAAATGCACCAAAAATGCAGTGCATTTTTGCAACGTCTGCCATTAATATCAATGGGAAGGTGCGTTTTTTTTTTTGTTTTTTTTTTTTTTCTTTGACACTAAACCTGCATCAAAAATGCAGCAAGCAGGACTTTGAAAAATGCGTCGGACCCACAAGGGATCAGTGTGAAGTGTTCCACAGGAATACATGGTTACACGTTTTTCTGCTGAGTTTTTAACGTAAAAGCAAAAGAAAAACTGATCATTGTGTGAGCAGCCTAAGGATAAATTTGTCAGAAATGTAAAAAAAAAGTAGCACCACCTAGAGAAAAGCTCCCTCTCTGTCTACACTTTACATACTCAATTGCTAGAGCATACTTGGTGCACTTATAATGAGCTTTGAATAATGTCATTTCCACTGGGTTTGAGCAGTGAGGGAGGCAGTTGGTCTAAGTGGGTCAGTGACCCTCTGGGTACTTTTTTGATTTTACAGATTATTATTATGATTATTATACAGGATTTATATAGCGCCAACGGTTTGCTCAGCGCTTTACATTATAGTGGGAGACAATACAGTTCAATACAAGAGGGAGTTGAGGACCCTGCTCCTAGGAGCTTACAATCTAGGAGGGCGGGGTGAATGGTACAGTAGGTAAAACTGTGGGGTATGGAGTGGTTGGAAGCGTAGAGGATTCCAGTATTAGCAGAGGGCGGGATAGGCTTCCCTGAAGAGATAGGTTTTCAATGATCGCCTAAAGGTAAGTAGAGTAGGTGAGAGTCTGATAGATTGGGGGGTAGGGAGTTCCAGAGGATGGGTGACGCCCTGGAGAAGTCTTGGAGACGAGCATGGGAGGAGGAGAAAAAGTGAGCTAGATAGTAGGAGGTCTTGCGAGGAGCGGAGTGTACGGTTTGGGTGATATTTAGAGATAAGATCGGACATGTAAATTGGGGCAGTGTTGTGGACGGCTTTGTATGTCATTGTTAGTGTTTTGAAATTTTATCCTTTGGGCAACTGGGAGCCAGTGGAGGGATTGGCAGAGAGGGGTGGCGGATACAGAGCAGTTAGTGAGGTGGATGAGTCTGGGAGCAGCGTTCATGATAGACTGAAGGGGGGATAGCCTGCGATGAGGTCGGCCAATGAGGAGGGAGTTACAATAGTCGAGGCGTATGCTGGTATGGATTAAATGACTGGTCCTCTTTATGTGATGGCCATAACTGGACAACAATACACTATGTGGTCACCATACACTGCCAGGTTACTATGGCAAGTAAATCAAAAATGATCAATAAACCAACAAGGTTTCTTGGTCTCAGTTCTCTGTCCAGCAGTCACTTCTGTAGTGGCATATAATCCTCCTTGGGTGGTTTCTCCCCTTTCCGTGCGGTTTTATGTACATTGTCAACAGAATCGCCCTATAACATGTCTGTGCGCAGTACACATCTGTGCAAGTTGATGCATCACACAGACATGTATTAGTACAATGGCTTACCTGTGTGCATGCATTGATGTGCTTTAACCATTTCAATACCCTGCAATTTTACCACTTCCTGCCCAGGCCATTTTTCAGGTTTCAGCGCTCTCACACTTTGAATGACAATTGCGCGGTCATACAACACTGTACCCAAACTAAAATGTTATCATTTTCTTCACACAACTAGAGCTTTCTTTTGGTGGTATTTAATCACCGCTGGGGTTTTTATTTTTTGCTAAATTAACAAAAAAAGACCAAAAATTTTGAAAAAAAAAACACATTTTTCTTTGTTTCTGTTATAAAAGTTTACAAATAAATAATTGTTCTTCATAAATTTAGGCCCCGAGATGTATTCTGCTACATGTCTTTGGTGAAAATAACCCAAATTAGGATGTATTATTTAGTTTGTAGGAAAGTTATAGAGTTCACAAACTATGGTATAGATCTGAATATTGATCAATCCTGAAGTACTGACAGCCAATCTAATTTCTTGAGGTCCAAGAATGTCAGAATAGTACAGATATCCCCCAAATGACCCCTTTTTGCAAAGTAGACAGTCTGACGTACTTCATAAGAGGCATGGCGAGTTTTTTGAAGTTGTATTTTTTTTGTCATAATTTTTCGGAAAATTAAGAAATTAAAAAAAAAACTTTTTTTTTTTACATACTGTCACCAGTGCAGTACAGCATCATCATATAACTGGCATGGCGGTGAACAGGGACACTGACTGGTGACAGTATGGAAAAAAAATATATATATTTTTTTTTTATTATTATTATTTTTAATTTTTTACTTTTTTTATTTTTTTTTAAGATTTTTTTTCATATTTTACTATGACCAAAGTAGTACAATGTTACCATAGTAACATTGTACTACTTTGGGGAAGTGATCAGTATTTTTTTTGTTTTTTTTTTTCTTTATACAATTTGCTTATAGCAAAGAATTACTTTGCTATAAGCAAGCATTTACCTGAATGACATCGATTCATTCAGCTTTTTTTTTTTTTTTTTTTTTTTTTTTTTTTGTGCTTAGCTGTGATTTGGTCACAGCTAATCACATGACATGTGCATGTGATTAGCTGTGACCATTCACAGCTAGGCACTAGTATACAATGGATGGCATGAATGAAGCCATCCATTGTATACAACTGTCATGTGACCTGCTGTGATTGGTCACAGCAGGTCACATGGTAACAGCAACGGGAGCCGGTACTCGGATCTGTCATCGGCCGTGTCCGAGGTACACGGCCGGTGACAGATCGCGCTGCTGCGCCGCTCTGCATTAGCGCAAACTGCGCATGTGCGGGAGCACGCCAAATGGCGTGCACCCGGAATGCAGCCACTTTTGAAGCCGCCAAACGGCCATTGGCCGGGCGGCTAATGGTTAAAATGCATAGGTGTGAAAGGGCCCCTAAAAAGTATGAGTATCTGCTGCTTTATTATCCCCTATAGTCCCTAGTCTAGGGTTCGGTAGCATTAACTGATTGGATATTGGTTGGATATTTTGACTGTCCACTAAAAATCAGTCACCAAAGCTGGATTGCTAAGTGCTTCATTGGGCTAAATGAGGAGAGGAATGAATGATCATTTCTGTAGGTAGTGTGCATTATGAAAGATGGCAAAGGTAACACTTTGGTAAGCATCCAGTTTGTGGAGCTCAATGCCATCATTGTACAAAGAATAGCACTTTTGATGCTTTTGTCAACAGTCATTGTTAAGTCCCCCTAAATCCATCATCTAATGAGTTACTGTTCTGTCATTTTTTAGTTTTGGCTTTAGCACTTGGCTGCAGTGCATGCACCGTGTTTGTTTTTTCCATATAAAAAGATGATATAAATCATGAATCGTGTTGATAACATATGATTTTGATGAATAGGTGTCGCTGTACTTTCTGGGGACATTCCAGACCGCGTCCTACCTATCCTTCTTGCACAGTACAACAATTCTGCATCATCCAACAGCAAGACACTGTCTCCTGAGACCAGGATGAAAATGGGGGAGGCACTGATGAGGTGCACTAGAACTTTGGGTAAGTGTCTTCATTGTGTTTAATGTCCAGAAGAGAACTAAAAGGGAAAACTTTCATTCACACCTTTTTGTGATGAAGCATTTATAGGATAGGTTCACTTAAAAAAAAAAAAATATATAATAATAATAAATGCACATTTTCTTGCAGGTAAAAAAATGTGCATTTATTATTTTTTTCTTTAGAGCATGCAAAGCATTGCACCCACGATCAGCAGATCGTGGGTGCAGAACTCTCCATAAAGCTGTCTGCTTGTACCTCCCATACGTGCAGACCATTACTGGAGAGCAGGAAGAATCAATGAACTACAAAGAGCGCTCATCAGTGCCCTCAGGGTCATTGAAAACCACAAGCCATCTGCCGCTATGGCAGGTGGTACTTATAGTTCATTCACAGAACTCTGTGAATAAATGATGTGGCTGTGTGGGCAGAGCCTCACACATCCATGCTGTTTTCAAATTGTGAAAGCGGATGCGGGGAGAGCATCCCCAGCTCGGTATCACAGTGAGAGAGGGGATCAGCAATGCAAGGGGGAGAATGCTGAGCATGTTGCATGTTTTTCTCTCTCCCTCTCTATTTTTTCTTACCTTACATCAGGGTTTTCAAACACAAATACATCAAGGGCCTTATCAACAGTATGGTTGCCCTCAAAGGACCAGTTGTGCGCTATGAGTACACTACGTACAGAGTGTAGGGTTTAGGGGTGTGCTGCGTGCAAAGTGCAGGGTTCAGGAGTGCACTGCGTACAGAGTGTAGGGTTTAGGGGAGTGCTGCGTGTAAAGTGCAGGGTTCAGGAGTACGCTGCGTACAGAGTGTAGGGTTTAGGGGAGTGCAAAGTGCAGGGTTCAGGAGTGCACTGCGTACAGAGTGTAGGGTTTAGGGGAGTGCTGCGTGCAAAGTGCAGGGTTCAGGAGTGCACTGCGTACAGAGTGTAGGGTTTAGGGGAGTGCTGCGTGCAAATGCAGGGTTCAGGAGTGCACTGCGTACAGAGTGTAGGGTTTTAGGGGAGTGCAAAGTGCCAAGTGCAGGGTTCAGGAGTGCACTGCGTACAGAGTGTAGGGTTTAGGGGAATGCTGCGTGTAAATGCAGGGTTCAGAAGTGCACTGCGTACAGAGTGTAGGGTTTAGGGGTGTGCTTCGTGCAAAGTGCAGGGTTCAGGAGTGCACTGCGTACAGCGTGTAGGGTTTAGGGGAGTGCTGCGTGCAAAGTGCAGGGTTCAGGAGTGCACTGCGTACAGAGTGTAGGGTTTAGGGGTGTGTGCTGCGTGCAAAGTGCAGGGTTCAGGAGTGCACTGCGTACAGAGTGTAGGGTTTAGGGGTGTGCTGCGTGCAAAGTGCAGGGTTCAGGAGTGCACTGCGTACAGCGTGTAGGGTTTAGGGGTGTGCTGCGTGCAAAGTGCAGGGTTCAGGAGTGCACTGCGTACAGAGTGTAGGGTTTAGGGGTGTGCTGCGTGCAAAGTGCAGGGTTCAGGAGTGCACTGCGTACAGAGTGTAGGGTTTAGGGGTGTGCTGCGTGCAAAGTGCAGGGTTCAGGAGTGCACTGCGTACAGCGTGTAGGGTTTAGGGGAGTGCAGGGTTCAGGAGTGCACTGCGTACAGAGTGCCACATCTCATTTCCACCCCTCCTCCTGGATTCTGACGTCTGCATCCACCACTCTCCCCCCATTCCCTCACTTCTGCACACATCTGCCTGCACACCTCCATAGCCCTCACTCCCCAAAACTTCTTTAAATCTGTGTATTCAGCTCCAGTGAATTCAGTTCTGCCCTATTGTAATATGTTTTTTTTGGACCAAAAACTAAAATCAATTGCACTCACATGTATGATGTACAAGAAGGCAATTACAGCACTGCCTCTCTTCATGCACATTGCCTCTGCTGAATGGATCAAGTCCTTAAAAGCCTGCTCCAGGTAAGGAACACGCTACCCTCCAGAGCTGTCATGTACCTCCACAACTGACCGGCTGTGCTGGACCGATCGCACATGCTGCCTGTTGCAGCACCTGTTCTGTGACAGTGGAAAGCAGAGGGTGAGAGCAGGAAGTGGCATCCGCTGTGAGGGCCACATGACATGGCCTGGCGGGCCAGATTCGGTCTGCGGGCCGTGTGTTTGACACATGTGCCTTACACCTCACTCCTGAAAGCTCCTCCTTCTTTCTTTGCATCTGGTCCACTGAAGCCTCTGTTCTTTGTCATTCACTCTTCTAATATCATCATTTCTCTACAACCCAAAGCACTGTCGAGAAATGGTGATCGCTGACTGTTGGGGAAGTGGGATGAGGGATGAGTCAAGTAAAAGTGCTTTTAAAGGATAACCTTGCCAAAAACAACCATTTAACCCTTACAATATGGGGAAGCCCGGTAGAGTTTGGAGCAGATAAGCTACTACAATGACTACCTTTAGAGCTTTACAGCTGTTGACAGCAGGTATCAGCCACACTAGATGTGCATCAGTTCCAGTGAGTCATCTGACTCTTAACCACTTCCTGTCCGGCCCATGAATATAGATGGCTGGACAGGAAGCCTTGTACCATGTGACAAGCTGTGACCAATCCCAGCTCACACAGTATATCTCAATGGCTGCAGGAATGCAGCCAGAGAGGAGAAATGATTGTTTTTACAGCCTTTATGGGTGTAAAAGCAATCAGTGTAAAAAAAAAAAAAAATCTTCATCACCCCCCCTGTACTGCTAGGGTGGCAGTATGTTAAAAAAAAAAAAAAAAAAAAAAACACATAATAATATAAAAAAGTAAAAGAAATGTGGAAAATTATAATTTTTGGTTATAAACTAATTTACTAATTTACTATGGTGACACTGTACTGCTAGGGTGACAGTATGTGTAAAAAAAAAAAAAAAAAAAAAATGTAAAACATTTTTTGAAACATTATTATTTTTGGTTATAAACTAATTTGGGTTATTTTTTTTTTTTTTACTAAAAAGATAACTGAATAAATTTTGGCCAAGATTTATGAAGAAAGATTATTTATTTGCAAAATTTTATAAGAACCACTTTTTTTCAAAATTGTTTAACTTTTTCACTTATATAGCAAAAAAATAAACATCGCAGTGGTGAATAAATACCACTAAAATTACAGTTTACCTGTCTCAAAAAAATGCTAAAAAATTCATATGGGTACAGTGTTGCATAACCGCACAATTGTCGTTCAAAGTGTGATAGCGCTGAAAGCTGAAAATTGGCGTGGACAGGAAGGGGGTAAAAGTGTCCGGACTGGAAGTGGTTAAGCTGGCTATGCATGGATTGAAATTTTTCTGGTTCTGCAGGGACCGGATGAATTTTGGTCAACTTAATGGGCACTTTGATTGAACAGAATTCTAATATTGAAATAACTTCTGTTCAACCACCCTGTCGGATTTTAGCCGCTCTCCCCGCAGTAAGAATACAAAGATACAGCGAGGAGGATTCTCCTAAAATATTTACACCGGTTTGTAAATTGTTCACATTAAACTGAGCACATTCACAAAAAAGATCTCTTTTCCTGAAATGCTTTTGTAATTCTGATTCACGAATATTAAAATAACTTCTCTTCAACCGCTCTGTCGGATTTTAGCCGCTCTCCCCGCAGTAAGAATACAAAGATACAGCGAGGAGGATTCCCCTAAAATATTTACACCGGTTTGTAAATTGTTCACATTAAACTGATTACATTCACAAAAAAGATCTCTTTTCCTGAAATGCTTTTGTAATTCTGATTCACTTTGCACTGTAAGTAAACCTGCTGCAGGCAGGGATAGTTTGCCTACGTATCAGGTGTCACGTGACCCGGTGTCTTGCTCAGATCTGTAGCGAGACTCTGCATTTCCCAGGTGTATTGGTGTCCGCCTCTCCCAGGATTTACAGGGCTTCCCTGCATGTTTCATCCTGTGTGTTCCACATCCACTAATAGAGGAAAAGTCATTTTTAAAGGAAATCTTTTGTCTTTTAATCACTTAACTACCTGAATACTTTTTTGCATTTTAGTGCCATATCCGTTTAATCATTATTAACCTTTTTCATTTGTCATCACCATCTGAATTCGATGTGCTGAAGCTTTCTTTCAGTAGTAAAATAAATGCCTGTCTGCTTTTATTGAGATACTGAGGAAGTAAACTGAAAAAAAGGAAAAATAAGAACCTATTCGTGCATTTGTATTTATTATGGTATGTGTGTTGTTTCTTTCATTTAAGGTACATTCAGACCCATATGTGATGGGACTGCACTGGGCAGTTATGTCGGAGTAATCCCATTTCATGACAAAGTAAAATGCCTTGTCTCCTCATTTGTCTAGGCCAGTGGTGGGCAACCTTTTTTTTTCAACTGAGCCAAATCTCGCCAAAACCACGATTGAAATTTTATTTTGAGAGCCACATTTTTAAAACTGAAAATACATCCCCCATGTAGTAATTCATCCCCCATAGTAAGCATAGTAATTCATCCCCCATATAGTAATTCATCCCCTATAGTAATTCATCCCCCATATAGTAATTCATCCCCCATAGTAATTCATCCCCCATAGTAATTCATCCCCCATATAGTAATTTATCCCCCATATAGTAATTCATCCCCCATATAGCAATTCATCCCCCATATAGCAATTCATCCCCCATATAGTAATTCATCCCCCATATAGTAATTCATCCCCCATAGTAATTCATCCCCCATATAGTAATTCATCCCCCATATAGTAATTCATCCCCCCTATAGTAATTCATTCCCCATATTGTGTCAATTTACTTACCTTTGCTCCGCGCGTTCCTCTCGCCATGTTCCCGCGCCGTTCCGGTCTTCAGGGCGGACTGTGAGAGGAGAGGAGTTCGTCACGCTGCCCCGCCTACACCCTGACAGCCAATGTTTGCCACGCTCCGTGGGATTAAAAGGTCCGCCGGGCCGTAGTTTGCCCATTGCTGGGCTAGCTGCAGAGTCCTGACTTTTGGGGCAGCCGCCCGAGAGGAGGGAGGGGAGCGGGCACCCGGCACACAGAAGAGCCGCATTAAAGTGTGCAAAGAGCCGCATGTGGCTCGCGAGCCGCGGCTTGCCGACCACTGGTCTAGTACACACCGCTGCATTGCGGTGTTGTGCAGACACTGTGCAATGAAATAAAATACTGTGTGCAGTACTTTTTTTTTTTTTTCAGCGCAGTGCAATGCAATACAGTGCGGTGGACAAGGAAACTTTATGGAATGTCTTTGTGAATTTTCAATAATGTTCATTACCCAAAAAAAAAAAAAAAGGTGAACCATGGGATGCGTCGAGATCTGTGCATCAGCAATGCGCCAGTCCAGCTGGAGTGCACACCACCTGTTGCGCTGTAACGCAGCGGCTGGTGTGGGCATATACTTACCAATACCATACCAGTTAGTAATACAGTTATGTAAAATGGTACTCCAGGCTCACGTATGTGCGGTGCATGAACACTCATCGCTGTAATGCAGTCCATTCATTTGGAATGAGCTATCAACACACCACAGTGGACCTAAATATGCACCTACAGTTTATTTACATTCAGCACATCCTTAACGCACAGATGGTTCATTATGCTGTCATTTTTTATTTTATTATAAATTTCACTTTAGTAATGTTGTATACTTGTACAACATCTCCTGCAGGTCTGCACATTGGACTCCATGTAAATTGGCAAGTAATAGGAAATTGCTGGAGGACGTGTAGGTGAAGGTGAGGCTTTGATGGTGGTGGGAGTAACCTCCTGGCCCTCAGACTAACTGCTGCTTATGATGACTCTTTGTTACTCAGTGAGGTGTGTATCTGGTTCTATGCAGCCTTGTCAGCAGGTCCGGAGGCTACAGACTGACACACTGTGAGGAAACGCCACTTAAAAAGAGAGAAACCTTTCAATGGCTGTGATGGTCATTGCCTGCAGGTTAAACATTTTTCTCTCTTCTTTTCTGGTTCTGATAATGTTCTCCATGTATTTTATCTACTTTTAGCTTAAAGAGGAACTGAGCTCTGGAAGCCGAGGACAAAGATTCGCCAGTATTGCCTGTGGACTCCCTGCAGCTGATCTTTTCCCTAAAACTGACTTGCCATGCCTTGTTCTGCACTGTGTCTCTGCGTGAAGGCAGCCATCTTTGTAGAGGCAGGGTTTTGCTTCCTTTATATCAGAGCCTCCAGCAAGGAGAATAATAAACAGCACATTAGTGGCATCACCGAATCTCGCCTAAAAAGTTATAAGGGTATGATTTAAGGCACTGCTTGGGCACAATTAACATTTCCAGATGTTTCCTATAACACAGCAATATTTCACTTTTTGAGTTCAGGTCCACTTTAAAGTGGAGTTCCACTCACCCTGTCAAAAAATAAATGTCAGCAGCTACAAAAACTGTAGCTGCTGACTTTTAAAAAACAGCCACTTACCTGTCCCGCGGTGTGTCCCCCGCAGCTCGTTTCACAAGCCGTCCTGTATTCCAGGAGGCCGGCATCTTCAGTGTGGACACCCGGCTGTGACTCCTTGCGTCTTTACAGCCGGGTACCCACTTCGCATGCGCGAGTAGCGCTGCGCTTCATGAATGGTCCTGTAGCCCTCTGGGACCTGTCACGTGTCCCAAAAGACTGCAGGGATTGAGGGAGGGAGGACACCTTCTGCTTCCGATCACCTAGGCCAGGGGTAGGCAACCTGAGAGCCGCAGGACTACAACATCCATCCTGCCTCTGCAAGTCTTAGCTGTAACTGTCAGTTTTAGTCTGCAATGCCTCATGGGAAATGTAGTTCCACAACAGCTAGAGAGCTGCAGGTTACCTACCCCTGGCCTAGGCGATTGGACCGGAAGTGGGAGCGGGTACCTGTCAATCTCTGCCCATCTCCTGTAGTATACCAGCAGTCTCTGACCATTTCCTGTAGAATGCCCATGGGCTTTTCCTGTCTTCTGTAATGTGCTCACAATCTTTGCCCTTTTGTTGCGTGCCCACAATCGCTACCCTTCTCCTGGAGCATGCCTGCAGTCTCTTCCTGTCACTTGTAGCATACCCGTGGTTTCTTTTTATGTTTTGTATCCTACCCACACCCACTGCCTGTCTCCTGTAGCATGCTTTGCAGCCTGTGCCTGTCACTTGTAGGTTGCCCGATGTCTCTTCCATCTTCTGTAGCTTACCTGCAGTCTCTACACATTTTTCTTTAGTCATTTCTAATGAATAGTATATTGGGTGTTTTGGTGATGTGGTAGGCTGCATTGGGTCCCTATATCAGGTGTGCCGACTACCACGTATGTGTACGTGCCAAGCAGATTTTAAGAGAAATTGAATACGCCATTAAAAGATAAAATTCTAAAAAAAAAAAACAGCTTTTACTGCTGTACTCAGCTTCATCCAAGAGCTGTCCTTTACAATACGTCTTTTCCATATCTTTGTCTGCTCTCTTCTGTAATTGCTTTCCTTCGATCCTCCCCTACTAGTTTCCTCTATCAGAATGTCCGTCCTCTCTGTGGCATGCCTTCAATGTTCTGTCTGGTACCCAATCCATTCCATGGTGCACTCTTAGCTGGCACCTTCCGACCCAGTCCTTGTTCTCAAACTCCTCCTCCCCTAGTCACATGACTTCCAGGATCAATCATAATATTCCCCAAAAAGCTAGAACACTTTCCTTGTACAGTTTTTACCTGTATTAAAAGACCAGATCTGGGTATTTCTATATTACCAGGAACTGACTTTCTATGCTGACAGGTATATTCCAAAATTCCCTACGTATGTCACTCCACAGAAACCCCCCCTCCCCTCCCAGCGCATTTCAGACCATGTTTTTCATCAGGGGTAGGGGTCAGCTGTAGGCTTGTTGTGCAGAAATGTGTAGGAATTTGATGCATCACACCGATATGAAACTGCAGGGAGAGAATTCATGAACAAACCTTTGTAGTTCATCTGTTTATTGGCTGAGTTTGGGAAATGATCGGCAAAGTTTTCACCCATTATTCTTGCTTTACGAGATCTGCAAGTTTATAGCCACCTGGTTTAAAGGGAATGTAGTCAATGTCTTTTTTTAGTTATATGTATACAGTATGAGTTGGCAGACTCCTCAAAAACAATTCACTCCATGTGTGGCTGATGAGTTATCTGTTTAGGCAGTTAGGCAGAGTTGCTGTAGTGGTTAATCCGCTGTGCCTCTATCGGCTAACATACAGTTCTCTACATTTAACAAACTGACATAAATATGGGTGAACAAGAATTTCAACATCCATGGAGGAATAAAGTGGAGACGATTTATATACCTAAGCAGGGTGAAAAAGAAGATTTGATCTCTTTTGGAGGGGGTTATAGGATCCCTTATATCCTATAAGGCTCATTACTCATCTCCATCTGGTGAGTGCATGGACACTTATTATTAATTTAATTTTTGTTCACTTATGTAATTTTGTTTTTGGATTTTGCGCTGTTTTTTTGTTGTTTATTGGTGGTTTTCACTGTTGCACAGCTGCATAATCTCTTAGTATTTTCTTTTTGGCGCTGGGATATATATTTTTGGTTTTTTAAGAATTTCAACATGTTAAGTTCACAGTAAAATATAAATGCAGCGCTAAAAATAATAATAAAAATATTAAATGATACACGGTGAGCGCTAATACAGCGCTTCTAAAGTGATAACGTGATAAATCGTCTCTTAGTGACGTCTTAAGAGTATAAGATCAATAGATAAAGTGACTGTAGTGCATCATATACAATGCAAATCAAGTCCAAAAAATTAGGTGATCCGTGCTTTGTGCTGGTGATCCTATATGGTGAGGGCCAGTAATATGAATGCACTCACCAGAAGCGCACAAAAAATGCGCATGCGTGTAAACATCCAACAGTGGTCATCAGGGTCAAAGCTAGGGCTGCGGGGTCATCAGGCACACTCAAGGCACACAGGGTAACATCACTCTCAAAGGGCACACTCTGCTCCCAGGTACAGCTCCATGTTGTCATCAGACCACCAAACCAGGGATATCACAGGGACAGCGCCACGTTAGTATCAGACCACCAGATCAGAAGCATCAAAGGTTGGGGGAGATATCCACCTTAGGGGCTCGCATAATACGAGCCAGAGACAAATGGGTAGTGATCATGTAGTATTTATTGAAGTTCCAGTAAAATCCGTAATATAAAACACATGAATGAAGAGATATGTAAAATGGCCGCCAGCCTTCCTGGTGGCCGTATGCGGCGTGATGTCACTCTAGTAGGCTCCTCACTGACGCGTTTCGTGCACCAGCACCTTATCAAAGGGATGACTAAGTGCTAAGTTCACAGTCACACATTGTAAAGTAAATTTTGCAACAACAGCTTAAAATATGAGCTCAGTGAAAATAAAGTATACCTTCCCTTCCCCTCTACACCACGAGATTGATCTTACTGTGATATCTTATTTCCTTAACACGTGGCTTAGGAGGTTACACCTTGTACCCCTCCATGTTGTTCATGAAAGCCTCAGTCATTTCAAGGAGTATGCAATGCCTTAGAATATATTTAATATAATCAAGTTTCTTTTTCTGCAGGAGACATGGTCATCCCACACAAGAGCGCCTTAATTCACGCTTTCCTGAGGGGTTCCCGGGATCCAGACAGCTCTCTGAGGGCCAGCAGCCTTTCTAACTTGGGGGAGTTGTGCAAGCTGCTCCAATTTTCTTTAGGTTCAGTTGTCCATGAGGTAAATCCTCATTTTCTCATCTAATTGGTTTTCTGTAATCATATGAAGCCCTCACAAAATGGCAGTCTTCCTATAGATACTGAAAACTGAATTTTCTTCATTTTAGGTGAGCTCCTGTTTATCAGCGCTGATACGTACTGATCCAGAGGCTGAGGTGCGCCGGGCTGCTATTCACGTGGTGGTGCTACTCCTAAGGGGACTGAGCTCACGAGCCACAGAAGTAAGTGTCTCTGTATTGCATGGGTGTCCAAACTATGGTCCTCCAGCTGTCGAAGTACTACAAGTCCCATCATGCCTCTGCTGCTGGGTGTCTTGCCTGTGGATGTCAGAGTCTTGCAAGGCCTCATGGGACTTGCAGTTCCTCAACACCTGGAGGGCCATAGTTTGGACACCCCTGCTGTATTGTATGGCCTCGAACTACTGACATTTTCACTGATGGTTGAAAACCTCATTGAATCTCATCTCCAGTGAGCAAAAAAAAAAAAACTTATCATGACACTTCCCTGTATTTAACTGATATTTTTCAATCTTAAATATCCAATTAATTCTGGTCATTTGACACACCAGGTCTTCTTTATTCTCATCTGTAGAGTAAGAGGATCTTGTCTGCAGTGCTAACGTTGCCTTCTGGTGATGTTGATGCTGCCTATTGCCTTTTGGAGGTTTCCATCGCTGGGCTAGAATTGGAGTTCATGCAGGACCATGATGCCTTCCAGCAATTCCATATGGATGGGAAGGCACAAGACTGGTCAGCTGACCAGAGGGGAGAGCAAACAAAAAAACTTTTGATCACCAGTCAGCTACCAGAGGAGGCACAAAGAAAAATTATAATATAGGGCATTTAAGTAAATGTTTCTGGGTTTTATTTTTGCTTTTTTCTTTTCATTTTGTTTTTTTTTTTTTTTTCATTAAACACATACAACTTACAACATCAGCAGGCACCAGCCAACGTTCGGTATGTATATACTTCTGTATGTTCAACTGAAGTCAGTCTAATTGCCGGCTTCTGTCAAGTGGTCTTGCTGGAAAACCAGCATTCGATCAGCACTTGCAGCCAGTGGCTGATCTGTGTATTTTTGGTGGTGGGGGGACTACAATAGAACATTGGGAGAGATCCTTGCATCAACATCCCCTGGTTGAACTAAAACAAAAAATTACTGTACATGTATACCCTGCTTAACAGCTCTGGTCTGTTACCTCTGGGTATCAAATCTACAATACTAAACAAAGTGACTGCATTAAATCCTATGGCACAGGACTATACAACTTATCACATATCACTGGAGATAACAAATTCATTCCAAGACAATATGCTCTTTCAATGCTCCTACAACCTGTAATAAGAAAAAACAAGCCACAGAAGTTTAAACCACTGACCATTACAAGGTGGGTGCAAAGGAGTTAAGAATAGTGCATTTTCATTTTTTTTGTGTGTATGTCATCCCTTCCCTAATAAAGAACTACTTCTTATTTGCTTCCTTTTAGACTGCCTAATATATATGGAAAGGTTTTATATGTGCAATAATTATAAAAAGGCACCTTATTGAATTCTGCTCTCTGCCCGTGCAGAGTTGCACAGACAAGGCTCATAACCCTTTGAGGACTGTAAGATTTTGGAACGCCAAAAGAACCAATTTGTTTGTTTTTAAAGTTCGTACACTTCAGTTGCTGTAACTAAGCCATTTCATGAAATAATTGGCAAAAAGCTAGATCCATTTGTTGTTTGTTGATAAGAACTAATATTTTGACTCAAACCAAAAAAAAAAAAGAGTTTTAAGTTCTTAATCAGATGATACACGCAATTACAAACATGGGACAAATACGTCCCTTGGTCCTCAAAGGGATAACACATACTTTAGCATTCAGAGCCAAAAATACTGTGTTGTCATGTCAAGGAAGAAGGTAATAACACATTATAATTCTGGCACATCAACAGTTATTTTCATGTACTTGCATTGTGTTTGGAGGGATAAAACAAGGGCAGGTGTGCGTGTATTGCAGCGATGTACTATATGCATGTTTTTTTGCCTAGACGCTCATTTCTTTTTAAATCATTTTACCATCAAACTACAATGCATGTCTTCCACCAAACTGGTGCTTCAGTCAAGTGTTCAGAAACTTCAGTATAATGATGAATTCCCATTACTGAACACCTGTATACAGCCAACATATTTTCAAGGAAATCCATAAAGAGTTTACTCTTTAGAATTCTGTCAAGCCTCTGCATAACAAATGCTGGTTCAGATGACAGATTGGAAATAGGTACATTAATTAGGGGCAAGCTTTGCATCCATGATGCTTGGGTGTCCATAGGGGCACTTCATTCCTGGTGCAGCTGAGCTCCCTCCCTGGTGGTGCAGCTGAGCTCCCTCCCTGGTGCTGCAGCTGAGCTCCCTCCCTGGTGCTGCAGCTGTTGAAGAGTCAGTGCATCCAACAAGGAGTTTTCAGTCTGTGTTGGCAGAGCCTGATATGGAATAAGAGACATTAGTTCCCCATCATATCTCATCTCCTTGACTGACAGTGGGCTTCAGGTGAGTCAGTAGCGAATAGACGCCTGCTATTGGCTGTAAGATCCACCCACTGCTTGCTGTCGAGCCATAAAGAGAGACCATACCCGGTGGGGGGAACTAGTGTCTCAGCTTCCCATACAGGCTCCATCCACAATCAGTGTCACTGGTTGCTAGAAGGCTGTCAGCTGTGAAGCCAACAGCATCCTTAACAACCAATGACAGGTGAGGAGTGGAGTGAGTAGCAGTGACAAACATGCCATTTGCTCCAGCTACTATCAGTCACAGCCAGTGAGCCAATGAGAGCGGGGGCAGGGCCAAGCCATGTCTGTGTGAATGAACACACAGAACAATGGCTGGGGAGTAAATCTACTTGGGTGCCCCCATAGCAAGCTGCTTGCTATGTGGGCACTTGGCAGGAGGGAGGGGCTGCTCTGTACAAACCATAACATGTTTGTTATTTTAAAGAAAAATAAAATCTGCATTTATAGCCACTTTGAGGGTCTAAAGGGATCAATTAGACCCTGAAGACCTACTATTCTGCTATCCTAAAACATTTAATGAAATTGTGTTTGATGTGATGACATGTAAATACCTTATTCTTTAGGAAGTCATGCTATTCTTTGTGAGCATGTTGTAACACAGTGAGCCGAAATCAAGTGGTTTATCCAGCCTTTCTATAAGGAAGCCTTCTTTTGTTCACATAGTCATGGCGGTGTCCCTGCCTTCTGCTCATTAATGCCAGGAGGTATTATTAAAGCTTTTATCTGTAGCATTGTTTCTGAAGAACATCATTCTTCATAATAAAACTGGTGGAAAGAGAGTAATTTTATGATGTGACACTGTCAATATGATCAGTAGAATTTGGTTGACATGGAAACCCCCCTTTTTGCTCTCTCTATCTGCAAAAATGTAAGACTGTCACAACGATTTTGGCTTGTCAGACATTCCATCTTTCCTAGTATGCCAGCAGTCTCTGCCCATCTCTTGTAGTATACTAGCAGTCTCTTCCCTGGTCTTACAGCATGTCAGCAGTCTCTGCCCATCTCTTGTAGTATGCTAGCAGTCTCTTCCCTGGTCTTATAGCATGTCAGCAGTCTCTTCCCATCTCTTGTAGTATACTAGCAGTCTCTGCCCTGGTCTTATAGCATGTCAGCAGTCTCTGCCCATCTCTTGTAGTGTGCTAGCAGTCTCTGCCCTGGTCTTATAGCATGTCAGCAGTCTCTTCCATCTCTCTTGTAGTATACTAGCAGTCTCTGCCCTGGTCTTATAGCATGTCAGCAGTCTCTGCCCATCTCTTGTAGTGTGCTAGCAGTCTCAGCCCTGGTCTTATAGCATGTCAGCAGTCTCTTCCCATCTCTTGTAGTATGCTAGCAGTCTCAGCCCTGGTCTTATAGCATGTCAGCAGTCTCTGCCCTGGTCTTATAGCATGTCAGCAGTCTCTTCCCTGGTCTTATAGCATGTCAGCAGTCTCTGCCCATCTCTTGTAGTATGCTGGCAGTCTCTTCCCTGGTCTTATAGCATGTCAGCAGTCTCTGTCCATCTCTTGTAGTATGCTAGCAGTCTCAGCCCTGGTCTTATAGCATGTCAGCAGTCTCTGCCCATCTCTTGTAGTATGCTAGCAGTCTCTTCCCTGGTCTTATAGCATGTCAGCAGTCTCTGCCCATCTCTTGTAGTATGCTAAGAGTCTCTGCCCTGGTCTTATAGCATGTTAGCAGTCTCTGCCCATCTCTTTTAGTATTCCAGCAATCTCTTCCCATTTCCTCTAGTATACCAGCAGTATTTGCTCATCTCCTGTAGTATGCCCACAGGCTCTTCCTGTCACTGGTAGCATGCTCGCAGTTTTTTTTTGCTCTCTTGCAGCATACCCATGACCTCTGCCTGTCTCCTGTAGCATGCTTGCAGCCTGTGCACATCTCCTGTAACATGTCAGCAGTCTCTACATTTGTCTGCAGCATTATACAGTATGTTGAATATATGTGGGCCTTTGTTGATGTGGTAAGGCTGCATTGGGTACCTATATCAAGTGTACTGACTATTACTGATGTGTATGTACCAATCAGATTTTAGGAGAGTTTGAATACTCCATTAAAAGATAAAATTCCAAAAACAACTTTTACTGCAATATTCAGATTCAGGCCAGAGCTGTCCTTTACAATACATCTATTCTACAACAAAATGTTCTCAGCCTTCTGGTTTGAACAATGGCCAGCATCATTCAGCCCACTTCCTCTGAGCCCAGGACTTCATGGGCTCCATCACCAGTCTGTGATAGTGAAGCAGCAGCTGCACAGCGATTAGCCCATCTTTCTGTTGCTCTGCTTTTCTCCTCCTGTCAGCATGCACCTTGTCAGTACATGAACTAGCAAGCTATGCTGTAGCTTCCTTGCCCATTCAGCTTTGCTGTACAGGGGATTGCAAACGACTGATCTGAAGTCAAATTTGGGTACTTGCTCTACTTGCATTGAAAAAAATACATTTAAAGCCAAACTCCAGACAGTTTTTTTTCCCATGCAGTGGGGCTGCGCCTGCACCACATGGGTTAACTACTCGTTTTGTCAAGGGGCTACCAGAAAGCCTTATACTCACCTGATCCTCAAATAGCACTCCCCAACGAACCAGTGGTGGACTGTTCCTGATGTCCAGACACAGAGTTCAGCTTTAAGATTCTATTAATGAATAAGCAGTGGCAAACAGGGACGGGACAAGGGGT